CAACTGGACTTCATCTGGGTCATTAAGCCTAAGACTAGCTCTGAGGGTCATCCATGTTTAAGTGAAGCATGAAGAGGAGAGATAATTCAAAGTGCTAAAATAAAGCTAGGCAAGCAGTAACTAAGCTAGTAATTTTAACAGAAAGACTTAAAAATAAAGCTGAGGCTCCAAAGATTTTAGAAGTTCAGTCTTCAAAGATGCCCATTGACAGACGGTCAACATAATGTCTGTTCACACCTTAAATGACATTTCTACTTCTCTTAACCTTTAATCCAGGAAGCTTCACCACTTTGAAAAAAAAATAGGCCTTGATTCCATCGGTCATTTCTCTGTGCCTATACATCCTATCAGTTTTTATACCCCTGAAAGAGAAGAAACTTGTTTACTGACCTGTAGTAAGACTTACTCAGGACATTCTCATCTCCCACACTGAATTCTTTGGAAGAAACAAGAATTAAGTACCTATGTGAGGATCTGCATGGGCAAGGCACCATTGAGAAATATTAAAATGTGCTCCCCCACACCAGAGAAAGTCTAAATTTATCATGATCAGAGGTTCTAACTTAATACTTCTTTGTTCCCCTGAAATGCCTAGAAGAGTGTTTTACACAGAGTACACAAATAATAAGTACTGCTGAAAGACTGATATGAAACACCTATGGTGCCTGTACTCATGGAATGTAGTGAGGGGACTGTCATTATAGGATAGATAATAGCATTGAGGTTATTGAATTCATTAATCACTATGTATTCAGAGGCAACAGGTTGCACTGAAAAAAAAATAATAGGTTTGGAGTTTGAGGATATGAGTTCAAATCCTGCCTCTGACACTTAATATCTATGTGAATGTGGGCAAGTCACACATCCTCCCTGGGCCTCAGTTTCTTCATCTGTAAAATGAAGAGGTTGGACTAAATGACCTTTTAGGTCTCTTCTAATTCTCAATCAGTGATCTGGTTATTATATTTTATTGCGCAATGGCCCACAATGAAGGGGTTAGGCTGTCCCTGAGGAAAAGGAGACGCTAAGAATTTGAAAATGGCTTGTGTCTGAACCAAGAAAGTATGTAAGGAATACCTGGGGTGTCAAAGGTGCCAGGAACCAATTCAGAGAAGAAAAAAGGAAAGGAGCCAGTTTAGAAGAAATAATTGCCTATGAATATGGATGTGCCGGGATTACCTATATTCAGAGGAAGTCCTCAAAAGAATCTGTAGATAACTTGGTACAACACTATCAGCATTTACCAATGCATGAATAAGTTATTCAAAAAGGGCTCATTTGGACAGAGAATTAATTTAAAACAGCTTTATTACAAACATTAGCATTCATTTCAGTTTTTTAACAAACACAGAAGCAGGGCTGGGGGTTTGTTGGCCCCATGCATATAGTCCCAGCCCAGCTGGCTTGCCTGCCACCAGATCCCTCCCATTACAGAGTCTGCTGGTTACAAAGGTGGCTATTGGTCCCTGAATTTCAATAATAATGGGCCCTCTGGGAGAATAAGACAAATGCTATGCTGGGATCTTTCTTTCCCTTTGTCTTGCTTTCCTCTTTGCTGACTTAGGAGAATTATAGCAATGGGTAAAAGGGGGTTGCTATCTTCAGGTAGAAACACTTGTGGATAAAATGAAAAGGCAAGAAGAGTCAGAAAAAAGAGTACAGTTAACTGAGGAGATAGGAACTTTTGAGGTGTTTCCCTTGTGGGGCTGGTGGCACTAAAAGGCAGATGTCCCTACAGTCTGTGCCATGAGAAGAAACAGAATAGAATGGGGTTACAAAGTTTGGAGGGAGGGAGATGGGACAAGGAGTGAGAAAGAGAAAGGGGGGAGAGAGAGAAAAAGAGAGGAAGGGGGGGAAAAGGGAGGGGGAGGGAGGAGGAAGAAAGAGCAAGAGGGAAGAGGATATTTTCTTCCAGTTTTACTGGCATATAAACCAACTGAAAATTCTTACCCACCCAGATCATAGCTGGCAGCCTCTAATACATGTTTTCCACATGCTCCATAGGAATAGATCAAGGAAAGAAGGTAACATGGGCATAGTGGAAACATCACTGTATTAGGAGCCAAGAGACCTACTTTTAAAGTCCTACCTTGAACTTATGTTTGAAACATGGATGCAATTTGGGACTTCTGCTTCTTTTTTCATCCGTGACATTTCAATAAACTGTCAAGTCCTGTTGTTTTTTAACTCAGCTGCTTCTTTTGGAGACCTCCCCCCTCCACTCCCACTACAAACAACAGTTAAATTCAGATCTTCATCACCTGGACTAATGCACTGGATTTCCAAATGGGAGGGACCAGTCACTCACCTCTTCTATTCATCCTACACATGTTCCTTGCCTAAACTATCTTATATTTACCTGCTTTATATGTATTTGTATTTATTAACTTTATATTTGCACTCTTTATATATACTTGTTGTCTTTCCATGATAATGTAAATTCATTGCAAGGAAGGATCACTTTATTCTTTGTACTTGTATACAGCACCATGTACAATGCCTGACATGTACATTAATAGGGGCTTAATACATACTTGTTGACTGATTTCTGCCAAACTAATCTTTTGCTACATAGTTGTGGACCATGATACTTTGCTTAAAAAGGTTCAGTTCCTTTCCGCTGTATACTAGATAAATTCCAAACTCTTAAGCCTCTCTGTCATCTGGCCCCAAACTACATATCCAGTTTAATATCAATCAATCAGTAAACATTTAATAAGTGCCTACAATGTGCCAAGCCCTGTGCTAAGTTCTGGGGATATAAAAACAAAAAAGGCAAAAGACAATCCCTGCCCTCAAGATGCTTTCAACCTAATGGAAGAACTTACAATCTAATGGTCTTACCCTTTTCCCTTTCATATATATATCCTATACTCCGACCAAAATGGAAGAGTCACTCCTCCTTAAACATCTCAAGTTTCACCACTTCTCTGTTTTTGCTTATGCTCTTCCTTATGTCTATTCCCTCTTTGTACAACTGTAATTATTGAAAATCTGTGCCTCAAGGCCTTAGCTCTTCATGAAGTTCTCCAATCTCCACCTCTGGTTTTCTCTTTTCTCTGGATTACCAACAATTGTATACATCTCCTTATACGTTTACATCATTAGACTTTGTATTATAGCTATTTACATATTTGAGTTCCCTATTAGCTCGTTGAGTTTAGGAGCTTCTCATTTATTTTTTATTCCTTTTAGCACGAGGTGCAGTGTTCTGTATACAATAGGTGCTTAACAAACATATGGGGAATTTAACTCTAAGTAAAGGAGAAAATTCATAATTTATACATATGTTTGTTGAATGTTTAGCTTGCTGTTTGTACAGTATGTGCCTGCCCGCCTGTCTTCCTGTGTCAACATTAACTTAGACTATAAGTTCTGAGAGGGATGATATAGTGTCTGGCTTCTATCATTCTTTGTATAGTGCCTAGCACAGGGTCCTACACAATCAAGTATTCAATAAATGTACTTGGATGAAGAAAATCCTTTGTATGATCTAACTTGACTCAAGAGACGCAGTGAAAAGGAGTCAAAGGTTGGTCATTTCAGGGATTTTATAGTGAGAGAAGTGGTGTCTGACAACCTCATTATTACATTATCATTGCCTAATGTGCCCTAACCCCCAGCAGAGGCCCCAAACCAACTCTCAACATATATAATTCATCTGTCTTTGCCCAAAGAACAGGACTATGCTATTGAACCAATTTCTTCTGATTCCTGGTTTGGTTTTTTTTTCTTTTGGTCAAAACAGAAAATAGCTTTTTAGTCTTGGCTCTATCATGCAAAGAAAGGAAAAAACAGCATCACCCAAACCTCTGCTCAAAAGAACTTTCCTAGAGGTGAAGATGCTTCCAGTTCTTCCTTTAAAAAACAAAACAAGAAAAAAGTGTTCTAACATTGGAGTATCATGATATTTGCAGGACAAATGATTGATAGAAAATTGTTTTAAGACAGCATGAAAAACAGATAATGGGTCTAACTTTACGTGATTATTTAAATTTCCTCTTAAGAGCTGTATGATGACAAACACTGTGGACTGGAGATCTATAATTGTGATCACAATGTTTTATTATTTATAGGCAATTTTTCTAGCAGAGAAGAAGTCTTATTAATGATAATAAGGGTAAAAAGTGTTCCTGACTAAGCAATTCTTATATCTCAGGAGAAATAAGTTAGACCCTGGAGACAGAGTTTTGATACTGGGGGGAGGAATGAATCACAGAGTAGAAGCAATTCCACTAGAGGTTCCAAGTGTGACATTTATTCACTCAGTAAATATTTATTAGGTGCCTACTGAGTACAGAGTACTATATGCACTTGAGCTAGGGGAAACACAAGCCTTAGCTAACACCTAGAAACACATCAATTTAGCAGAAACCACAATAATGGAATAAAGATATGTGCAAGGGAGGTGGGCATGTGGATAGAAGCCAGAGATGGACATGGGAAATTTTCTGGACTCTTTTCCTTCCTTAAAGCCTGAGGTCCCTGAACTTTTTGGTCGGTAACATGTCCTTGTCATTTGCTCCATTCTGTTCTGATAGTTATTTGGAAGCTGACTGCTGGCAAAAGCCTCATTTCCTGTTTTGCATGAATCCTCATCTATATTGGCTCTTATGGTTCAGATTAAAAAACACTAACAAACTGAAAACAATGCCCAAGATCTTGGCCTCTAGCAAGACAAATAAAACCAGTCACAAAGCAGAGACTATCACTAAGCTCCATAAGAATGGTATATGACTTCATCACAGATAATAATAAAAAGCAGCTATTTTAGGGGTGGTGGTAGAAATCATAGAGTTCCCTCCTCCCACTCTCCTCCTTTGCTCAACAGATACAGAACTAGGAATCAGAAGGTACTCACGGCTCTAAACTGAACCTGGACATGAAAGGAGATATTTGTTCAAAGGATAAGTAACCAAACTGGTGGGCTTGGCTACATAGGCAGCTGGCATGTCATTCCCATCGATAGGCAGCGCTTAGCTCCTCTGCTTGGCACTTACTTCTGCACATCCTTGTCCTTGTTGAGGTGTTGGAAGAAAGATGGCTCACAGATGAGTTGGTTTTCTTGGCAGACTTGTTTGCATGATTTCCCAGGTTCAGAGAGTTTCACCTGCAGAGCACTAAGGGGTGGCCACATAACTTGCCCATGACAGAAATCCTATAACAACAATTAAGCAATGAGTTAAGCTCAGATGTCACCTTTTCTGGGATCTAGAGCTATCGGTCTCGTCAGAAATGATTGTTCCCTACTTAGAACTTTCTGTACTTGTCTTCTGCATTTAACAATATTCTATTTTATTTTATATGCACACATGTCACCTCCCCTATTAGAATGAAGGCTACATGAAGGCAAAGACTGCATCTTATTTACCTTTGTAGCTCTCTCAGCACCAAGAATAGTGACTTACACAGAGTTTAATAAATATTGGCTGAGGGAAAGAAGGAAGAAATCAATCAATCAATAAGCATTTATTAAATGTCTATTTATACTAAAGGAAACACAAAAAATGTAGATGAGACAATCCCTTCAAGAAGATTGCAATCTAGAAAGGGCAAATTGCTTAACTAAAGGTTATTTGGATAATGAAACGACTCTGAATATTGTTCAGTCGACTCTTTGTGACCCTATTTGGGGTTTTCTCTGCAAAAATACTCGAGTGGCTTGCCATTTCCTTCTCCAGCTCATTGTACAGATGAGGAAATTGACGCAAACAGAGTTAAATGACTTACTCAGGGTCATACGGCTAATAAGTGTCTGAGGCCAGATTTGGACTCAGGTCCTTCTGACTCCAGGCCCAGCAATCTATCCTCTGTACCATGTATCTGTCCTGTACTCTTCTGAAAGTGGATGATTTAGTAACTTCAACAGATTTATTTATTACAATGAAGGTACTTAAAACCCAATAACTAACTAAAAGCTGTAACAGATTCCACTAAAGAATCATGTTATCTACCTTTGAAAGCAAAGGCAAGACCACGTCTTTCTTTTCTATTTGTTAGCCTCTTACTCTGCATGAAGGCGATTAGGACTGCACCTCACAGGCCATCCTGAGTGAAAACTGATAAGTGTAAGTACTCAGTCTTGCAGATATATCTTGGAGTTTATCTCTTTAAACATTACAGATGAAGAGAGAATGTAGGAGAGAATAGCACCTCTTTGCCTCAGGCCCTATGGCCCCTTATCTATAACCTACATTGTAGGTGTGGAAGGAGAGAAAACATGAAAGTAATGAGTGTGGGGAGAAAGATTCTGCTTTGGTTCAGGAAAGGGAATGGAGAGAAGAGTTAACACTTCATGTGCTACTTCCTAGGGATATACTAACACCGGCTTTGTAACTAATCTTTATAGAGCAACCATAGCAAGCGCATTCTTAGGAATCTTGTATCTGCTTCAAGTATGGGAAGCTGTTACTGTCTCCTAATTCCAGAACAAAAGGAAATGGCCTTAGACTTAAACTGCAAGATGATCTACCTAGTGTTTTTTTTTAGTTTTTAAAAAAATTAACAGGCATTTATTTTCTCTTACTCCTATCTCCCTCTACCCTGCAAAAATTAAAAATAAAAAATCCTTATAATAAATATTCATAATCAAACAGAACAAATTTCCATGAGGTGGGTAACATGTTTCATCATCAGTCCTCTGGAATCATGGTTGATCATTGTGTTGATATGAGTTTTTAAGTCTTTCAAAGTTGTTAGTTTTTTACAATGTTGTTATAGTATAAATTGTTCTCTTGTTTTTGTTCACTTCATTCTGCATCAGTTCATTCTAATCTTCCCAAGTTTTTCTGAAACTATCCCTTTTGTCATTTCTTATGGTACAATAGTAGACTGGTACAGCCTTATACCATAATGTGTTCAGTCACTCTTCAATTGATGGGCATCGCTCCACCTAATTAATGTTAATGAATCAAGGATCACTCCTTGAATCAAGGACCAGTTGCTCAATAAAATGTAACAGTTAAATCGAATTCTGTCCTCTCTCTCCACCCCCACCCCCAACTTTTAAGGCACAATGGAAGATTTGTTAATCATCCCCATAGGATCATCTATCTTTCTTCAGGTTTGATTGGAAAAGGTAAAAATGGGGGCAGCTGTTTTTGAATGATTCCCCCAGCCAGTCAGAAGGCCTGCGAATAAATAGCAATCATACAAATGAAAGTCTACTTTACTTGTGAAGCACATGCTTTCTTGGAGAAAGACTATTAAAAGTGAAGGTTTCATTTTCACATTCCAGGAAGGAGGCAATGGCAGGAGCCTGAGGCTGAAAGGTCAGCAGATCTAGGTTCAAGGACTGGCTCCAGATGATTGTGTACTTTTCATCACATTCTGGTTTTCTCACTGTAAAGTGGAACTATCACCTACCCAACATCATTTATCACCAGATGAAAAGGAATAAAAACTAAAATGTCCTTGTGATATAAGATGTAGAATCAATGCCTTTGTCATTATAGGGCTTCACAGAATAGGGTTTTTTTTTTTCTTGAAGTAAGGTGTTCTAACTGCAGTTCCAGGCCCTACTCTGAAGCAGCTTTCATATCAGACTCTGACTTTTCTAGACCTCCAGGTTCCTTATCTAGAAAACGAGAAGATTAGAGAAGGTCATCTCCAAGCTCTTTACCAATACTAATGGTCTATGAACCTATGTAATGCAGCTAAAGAGTCTGTTTGGAACATGTAATGCTAAGTTCCTGCCTAATGCCACTTCAGTTAGTTACTCAATTTATACCAAGAGTGAACTTTCTCATCTCTTGAGTTCTATTCAGTGATTTTAATGAGAGGTATTTATTAATCAATGAACTATTTAATAATTATAAGTGACAGGAGAAGCAACATTCCAGAGCAAATGACCTATGTGAGCAGCTAGTCAAACCTAACAATAATGCAAATTTCACAGTAACAAAATAAATTTGAACTAGCAATTTATACACAATTCACAGTATGCTATGTTACTGTTGACAACTGTCAGTAAGTCATAGGCTTCTCGATTGTTTTTCAGCAGTGGGAAGGGTTTGTATTGTTTCATCTATGTTCTCTTGCCAACTCTCTTTTGTCATCAATGGTGCCCTGAGATGACAAGTCAGGGTTTGGATACCATCGATGTTGGAGGATTAGTGCTGACAAATGATCGCTGTGGGGATTAAACCTATAGTTCTGTATCAGCACCTCGCTGTAACTGACTGAGCCAAGGTATACACTTGAAAGTCATTTCATCTGACATGTGCTAGGTAGGTGATTAGGGGCATATCACTTCACCCTCAGCACCTTAGTTTATTCTTTGGTGAAATGAGGTTAATAATACTAATAATAATACTCATAAGATTTTTTTTACGGATAGTGCTTTCTAATTGTTAGAAAGCTATATAAATGTATATCATCATCATCATCATCATCATCATCATCATCGATGTTATTCCTATAAAAACCATTAGGTTGATAAAGTCCAATGATTTGTTAAATCTTTAATATTATCCAAACCTTTCTCTCTCCTCCACCCACCAGACAACAAGAAAAGGGCAATATTCATTTAACAGGCTTGTTCTTTTGCCTATACTAGTATATTGCTCATAAATGGCTCTCAATGAAAATCTTTTCCTATTTAGGCCAATTGTAAGGTTGGCAACTTTGGTCGCTATGTTAACTCTTTCAAGCCACTAAGATGCTATTAAATAGCATTTCATTTGAATATTTAACCAAATAATTCACTGTTAATTAATGCTGGCAATGACCACAAAAATTTACTTTAAAGATATTCACTATAAATTGAGGATAACAAAGAATCATAAATGTATTGATTTAATAAATAAATCTTTATTATTAATTAGTCCATTACAAAGGCCTGCCACACTATTTGACTTTAAGGAAATGCCTGTTTTTTCTTCCTAATAGAGGGAATATTAAAACATTGATTAGAAGTATAATAATTCAGCTTAGAAAGTAATAGAACTCTTGATCTTGGATTAGAAGAATTTTCATCATAGCACTTACCTCCCCTAGTTTTTGATAAAGAGACCGGAGAACTGATTTTAAAACAGGATTCAATTTAAATCAAGTACAGTAAGGGAGAAAAAAGGAGAGGCTTCATGATGTTCCTAGTTACAAAACTTCTTCCCCATTGGTCATTTACCCGGGTCGATTTGGGTTGCATTTGGTCTATCCTGCCTATCTGCATTCTCATGCCTGACCAGTGTGGTTAATTACAATTTGCTCTGGACCAGGGTGAGCAATGATAGGCAACCTTGAAATATGTCTTGGAGCAAAGTAGAACTAATAGTAAAACATATGCCATGCAGCACACAGCTTTCAACATTGTAGCTCAATTTAATTAAAACTGCACTGGGATTTTATAGCTCAAGGTTACATGAGCCCTTTATCTTCCAGTCACCTCCTCAGGGTACAAAGCTTTCCGAGGGGTTCATGAGTCTTCATGTTTCTGTCTGTCTCCATCTTTATTCCTCTTTACAGTTTTAAGGAATTATGACTTTTTTTCCCCCCCTCATAATAGGACAACTTCCAGTTGAAGCTCTAATGTACCCTGGTCTACTTTTGGTTATTCAAGGGTTGATTATCCCATGTGTAAACTAGAGTTTTTGCTCTTCTCCCTTTCCCTCCTGCTGCTTCACTTGGGCATTATGATTCATTAACATCTCTACCAGGAGGCTACTTGGGGAAGGGTTGAGAGAGGGTGGTTTCCTTCTAGTTCCTCAGCTTCAGGAATCAAGAGTCACTAACTACTTGAATGCTATCTCAAGGTTTCCTCTGGTTTTAGCACTGTCACTAATGTAAGAAAAATAAGAATATTGGAAATATCATCCCAAGTCAGTCCAATGCTCCATACAACTACAAATGAACAGTGTTTGGGAAAGGCAGCATGGGATGGTGGAAACATTGTTGGATACCTTGGTTCAAATCCCGTCTCACACATTTACTAGCTATGTGATCGTGGGCAAGTCACATAATTTCTCGATCTCAGTTTTCTCATTTAAAAAATGCGAATAACCATACCTGCATTGTCTTAAAGTTCTATATAAATGAGTTACAATTATTCAGTCTTTGCCAACGGCTGATAGGAAAGTATGGTTGTTCTCTTTTATATAAAAATCAAAAATCATAAAGTTAAGGATATGTTCCAGGACCCTCATTTTTCTTTAGTGCTGTGCTAGGATCTAGATCTAAATGCATTTTAGATCCCATTCAGAACGTTATCTAAACCTTTTTTGAATGCAAATTGCATGTTCCACTTGCACCATATTTTCAGGTAACCGTTCCTCAAGTTTACTATCTGTTATGTAAGATAGAACTTCCTTACATTTATCTTAAAAAAAATCCATTCTCAGTCAAGTTTCAAGGACAATACAATAGAGTCATAATTCTGGAATTTGGTAAACAAATTCATGTTCACTTAGTCCCATTTATGTTAGGCAGAACTCAAAGGATATGTTACTGTCTTGCCTCAACCCTCGTCTTTCTGTAAGTGCTTAAAGAACACTTGTTGGCTGACTGAGAGGTTCTAACCTTCTTAGTCTTTAACAGAATCACATGGAACATTAAATCTGAGAGTGATTTTGAAAGACAATCTGGATCAGACTGCTGTCCCCCTGACTCCTGTCCCCTTTGTCTTTTAGCCTGGAAAATACTCAACTATCCAGTTCTCATGTTGTCTAATCTTTCCTCAAACTACATTCTAGTGTCCTATATGATAATGATGATGATGTTAAATGTCTAAAAATTTAAAGATTTAAAAAGCACTTTATAAATATCATCTCATTTTATCCTTACAATAACCCTGAGCAGTAGCTGTTATTAATACTCCCTCCATTTTATATATAAGGAAACTGAGGCTGAGGGAAGTTAAATGTCTTGCTCAGGGAAACACAGCTAGTAAGTATTTGATACAAGATTTAAACTCATGTCTTCTTGTCTCCAAATCCAATATTATAACCACTTTTATAGCCACTTTTACAAACAACAAAAAAAAGTTTGTTATTTTCTTAAATCTCCCTATTCTGATTTTCCCCTTTTCATTTAACCTTTTTAAGACCGGCAACACTTTAAGACAGGAGATCTTAATCTGGGATTTATTAACTCATTTAAAAAAAATAAACATTTTGGTAACTGTATTTCAGTATAATTGGTTTCCTTTGTAATCTTGTGGTTTTTATTTTATTCAATTAAAAATATGATTCTGAGAAGGGGTCTATAGACTTGACCAGATTGCCAAAGGGGTCCATGCCGCACAAAAAATGGTTAAGAATCCTAACTCTAAGACTAGGAGTCTTAGCAGAGAAGGCACTGACCTCCATTGGTAGAGAGAATTTCCTCATGTAGGATTTCCCTCTCCCAGTGAAATGACAGGTATAGGTACAGCCCCAGTCCCTATCCCTAGGAGTAATCTTCCAGAGACATTAAAAAACAAAACAAAAACACAAACAGACCCTCATAATATAGGAAAAACCACCTGTTTGGATAATTACTAGAAAACTCACTTTACCTTCAATAAACCATCCATCCATTTTCTCTGGTCATTAGAGCAGCAAGAGAATCACTAGCATGTTTTCTTTTCTCTTCTTGAAAATTCTGTAATTGAGGTTATAGGAAACAGTACAACTAACAGCGAAGAGATGTTTCTAAAAAGACTTACCTGTTTCTCAATAAATGCATTCATCCTTTGCAGCATCCCTTCACATGTGAACTCGTATGGCATGTAAGGTTCAATCTGTTGAAATAGGACACATTACTCCTATGTAGGCAGAGAACATTACTCACTGACTTTTCCACTGAATGGGCAGTAAGCTCAGGTTTGATTATGTCTATCAATTGTTGCTTTTGACATGACAGTCATGATGTTCTAAAGAACATTCATGATTTTTGTCCATTTCAGAACCTTAACAAAAACTGAGTGCAGAATTGAGCAATCAGGGAATCTAATTCTGATGTTCCTACTCCAGATGCCCAAATAAGTCTTACATATCCAGAACAGAACAAATTCTCATGCCTCCACCTAAGACCTTGTATCTTTTACATCATACCCTGATGGCCATTCTGTAAGACAGAGAATTGGACCAACCCTATATTGTTTACTCTTGGCCTATCAACAATGCTACAATAAAACTAGGTCAAACTCGAGTTTCGTTACTTTTCATGATCTTGCATTAGCACATTATGCTGCCCATGAAATGTTCTTAAGTTATAACCATAATTCATAGTACAGTGTTTGTTGACCAAATACAGCATTTTTCATGTAATATTTATCACTAATACTAATCTGCATGTCAGGGTAGTGATTTGAGAAAGTATATAGGAATTATATCTAAGTACTGTGGGATCAAATCAAGGATTTTTGTAGCAGAATTCCAATTTCTAGACTATATATCGCTGAAGAGTTCAAAGTACTTTGAAGACATTCTATTATTTCTACATGTCTTTTAAAATGTCCTCTACACATCAGAGATGGTCCTTCACATTAATTATTACTTTTATTTTCTTTTAAAGAATTTGTATTTACGTTTCACTGTCAGCCACTTATACTTTTCACATTCCAATAGATATCTACCAAGAGGTTCATACAAAGGACCCAAAAAAAAGTCTCCATATACAATTGCTACACAATTTACCATTTGAATGGCACCAAGGTAAGAATGAGTTACTATTAAAAAAACTCATTCACTCACTCACAGGTTTTAGTATACTTTGCTGTGGGTAATATCTTTCTCTACGGCTAGATAAACTCCTTTGATGTGGCCTGCAAATTTAGTTATGGGCCTAAAACAAGCTCTAAAACACAGAAGCCTTTTCTCCAGTGTATCCCAATAGTCACACAGCAGTGAAATGGAAGTTTATTAACTCAAAAGGATTATTTCGACAAACTAAATATTCTTGTTCTGTTCTCTACCCAGACAAAGCCCTAGTCTAGCAAACATGATGGGAGCACACAAACTGCTTTCTGGCCATTATGATGTATTAAATGCCATTAACTGTAGCAATTTTTCTATCAAGCAAAAGGGAAAAAAAAGTGTCATTTATTCCTGAAATCGTTGAACATATGAAGGACATTCCTTTGGAGAGGGATCTAGGTAAGCCAATGATGATACTCTAAAGGAGATCTATCTTTCTGGAGAAAGAGGTATACTGTTATATCACCTGTAACAGACCACAAGGTCTGCATTTAGGTCAACTGTAGGCCTATAGAGGGGAAGTCATTCTCTAGTAACCAGGCCTTGTTTGAGCAACACAAGTAAACACAAGAGTCTTCCCCGCCCTTCTCAGCATCCCTCTCTGTCAGGTTAACATAGTCTTTTTCAGGGATCTACTCCATCTCGTGGAATTTTCCCCAGCACCTCTATACACTGCTCTCTGCTGTAGGAATCTCTTTGGAATTGCAAAGTCTTACTTTCCACTGAGTGGACAGCTATTTCCCAATGGCATTAGTTGATATGGACTGGCCCTCTGATTTCACTGTAGAGGGAACTCTAGGTGAGGAAATCCCCTCCATCACTGCAGATAAGCATGTTCTCAGCAACTTCTGGTCAGAAAGTTAGAGAGATTAAATACTGTGCCCAACATCACATATCCGGACGTGTCAGAGATAATACTTGAACCCAAGTCCTTGTGGTTTTAAGCCCAGTTCTCTACCCCTATATTATGCCCTTTCTCTCATTAGTTGATAACTTTTTCAATATGTCCGTGTTGTGTGATTGCATTAGTGTGGGCGATTCCTCTACCAAAGTAGATTTTAATCCCTCTATAACTTAGTACATAGTCTCTAAGAGTTCATGTAACTGAAGATGTTTATTATCCTCTGACAAACCTAAGGATGAACCTTAGCTGTACTGAGCTGAAATGAGGAGATTGATCCTTGGGAAGTAAACAAAGCCTGTTTCTGGGACTCACTTGAATCCTTTCCAAAATTTTAAGGCCTGCTCAAGCTTACATTCTGATTCTACAGCTCCTAGAGCCCTGGTTATCTGCACTCCATGATGAGGGATCGGCATAGGTCTGGTAACACTTCACTACATTATCAGCTCCCGAGTAGTTGTAATCACATTTAATTGGGGGGGCCCTTTAAGACAAAAAAACTTCTATAATCAATAGAATCAATTCTTAAATGGGGAAATATGATGAGAGGTAGAGGGAAAGTATTTTGGGAAAAAGAGTGCCTCAAGTGCTACTTTGACTCCAATTCTACCTACTGTAGTCTCCCTGGCAATAGTGGGCAAGGGCAATTGAACTTTTTGCTCAACTACTAAAGTAGTTCTACCTGTGGGATGCTTTGTGGTTGTTATTCAGTTGTTTCAGTCATGCCCAACTCTTTGTGCCCCCATTTGGGATTTTCTTGTTAAAGATACTGGGGTGGTTTGCCATTTCCTTCTCTGGCTCCTTTTATAGACGAGGAACTGAGGCAAACAGGATTAAGTGACTTGCTCGGGGTCACACTGCTAGTAAGTGTCTGAGGCCAGATTTGAACCCAGGAAGATGAGTCTTTTGACTTCAGACCCAGCATTTTATCTACTTTGCCACCTGGCTGCTTAACTAATTCGATGACCTGAGCATTGAAACAGAAGGCTGATAAAGGAAGGTTAACAAATGCTCTTCGGTGAAATACTTCAGGTATGTGGCCCTTACAGAGACTCTCTTAACTGCGTAACATAGTTTGGAGAAAGCCAAAGGATGTACACAGTGTTACTTCCTAAATAGGAAAAAAAAATTATTTCCACTTAATTGGAATTCCAGTCTTCTAATTAGGCCTAAGAGAGAAACCTTATCTTATGCATATTAATTTAGCACAGTAACTAATACTTACTTTATATAGTGCTATACAATTTACAATTTGAATGGCACCAAGGTAAGAATGAGTTACTATTAAAAAAACCATTTTCAAGCATTTCCTTGATTACTTTTTCTTATCTCTTTATCATAGGCACATGCTGTGGTTCGAGGCCCATCTTCTCCTATCTGTTGCCTTCAGAGCTTTCTAATGGAATAAAAAAAAAGTGAAATTGTGGCCTACTCTTTTTAATTTCAGAGAAAATGTGGGAAACTCCCATGTCAAATCCTATAGGTTAGAGTAATGGGGGTAGGGAACCTTCAGCCTCGAAGCCACATATGGTCTTTTAGATCCCTGGGTATGGCCTTTTGACTAAGTCCAATTTTACAGAACAAATTCTTTTTTTTATTAAGGGGATTTGTTCTGTGAAGTTTGGATTTAGTCAAAGGGCCACACTTGAGGACCTAGAGGGCCACATGTGGTGTTGAGGCTGAAGGTTCCCCATTTTTTTTACCTTTAGTGGTAAGGTGCAATGGTAAAGCTTGACTTAGGAGAATAAAGCATTTAGGGTGACAGCTGTATCAGCACCCACAATACTTTCTGGTTCATACTATACATGGAGAAAATGAATTTTTTTTTTAACCTTTTGATTTAAAATTGCTTTCACTGCATTCTCTACTTCACGATGATCAGTTGGGTTCACGGTCCAGACATGTGGTCGTCCAATGAAAACTTCAGCATAAGGATGCTGAGAAGTTAGCTGAAAAAGAAACAAAATAAAACACATTATCATCATGCACCGGATATTTCTCTTTCTATGCCAGACACTGTTTTTTGTGCCTTTTATGGTACTGAGCCGTACTGCTGCAAGTAACAGAATACTCTGAGTATTACAAACAAACAAGGAAACAAAGCAAACTCCATTCACATCCCACCTTCTTCTCTTCCACCCCCCTAACTGGTTTTAGTCCTCCCCCCTCCCAGTCCCTCACCCTGCCCCCTAACTGGTTTTAAGCCTCTCCCTTCCCCACCCCTCCTTCCCACCCCCTAACTGGTTTTAAGTCTCCCCCCCTCCACCCCTCCTTCCCACCCCCTAACTGGTTTTAAGCCTTCTAAACACCCACATAGCAATAAAACAGGGATAACTTCAAGGCTAACAACAAATTATGAATCCCATTTGGAAGCAGGAAATGGTATGTCACTTCCCCAGGGTGAAATGGAAGATATAACAGTGCCCCCTCCCCCCAAAAAAGATGAAAATAAAATAGCCTGCCACACACTATCCATCATTGAACATCACCTATATTAGCCAGTGTCTATTACTCAAGTAGGCACAGAAGGAAGGCTTGCAATAAAAAAAATCAAGGTTTTAATGTTATGAAAAGATGAGTAATGGTAAAAAGTAGAGAAAAAAAAAAAGAAAAAAAATACACCAGGAAGATACCCCACAAGTTTTTGGACTGGATTGGAGAATAAGAATTATGCTCATATGATGCTTTTCTAGTTAGTGAGCACTGACAATGTGATAGTACTGTAAAGAACCTAGGGGACCTATGTTGCTGTGTCCTCTAGGCGTTAACAACCTAATTTGGCCAGGAGGCTAAGTTAGACTATTTCTCACTATGAACCCTTTTTTGGCCCATAAAGATGCTTCACAATAGGTATATTTGTCTAGCCAGCTTGTCTTTATATTTAAGGTTCCTATTCTTCTAGGCAGAACCTGTTTTGTTTACATGGTGGTTAAAAAAAAATACATAAATGTTAGTTGCATTTCCCTATTTCTGCCATGTCCTCTACTCTCCATTTCCCACTTTTCCAAAGGCTTGCATCATCCATATTCAAGTCAAAGAAAAAAGCATAAGACACTGGCCCCTACCACCAAGTCTTTATTAATACTCAGCCTGGGGCAGCTAGGTGGTGCAGTAGATAGACCTCCGGCCTTGGAGTCAGGGGGACCTGAGTTCAAATCTGACCTCAGACACTTGACACTTACTAGTTGTGTGGACCTTGGGCAAGTCACTTAACCCCGATTGCCTCACAAAAAAAAATAAATAAATATGGGGCCAGATGTCTACTGCCTGCCATAGTCCTAGCTATTTGTGCTCCTCTCCTCTTTCCAAAATTTGCTCAGGATTCACCTCCTCCAAGACATCTTCCCTGACTCAGTCCATCTAGTTCCTAGTCACTCCACTAACAATAGAATGATTTTGCATCATCCTGTAGTGACCGTTTTGTTCCAATCCTATGAACAGAGCCAGAAGATATACTTCTGGTCACTCTCAAAGTCTTCTAACTAGACTGAAAGAAAGCTCCATGAAGGAAAAAAAAAATCCCAGGGATTATTTAATTTGTCTATTTCAATGCCCGGTACGATGTTCTGCACCACTCTAATAAACACTTAAGTATTTGAAGTCACAAAGAAGAGAGGAAAACTTCTTTTGATCTCTCAGGGCTGAGTGATCTTTTTCTCCTTTGAGTCCCCATGGTCCTTTATTTGTACCTTCTTACATGGCTTACCACTTGTTTTGTACTTATCTCTCTAACGTGGGAAGTTCTCTAAACAATTGAAGCCGTAAGTGCTACTCTAATCCCCTATGACACTTATCAACATATAAGCCTTATGTATCTTACTAGACTGTAAATTCCATGATGACTGAGACCATATCTTATAATTCTTTGTATCCTCAAGGATCCAGAACATAGACAGAACTCACAGATCACAAATCTTCAGAGTTGGGAAGGATCTCAAAGGGCAGTGCAATGCCTAGCACATAGTAGGTGCCTAATGTTTATTGGCTGATGTTGTCCAACTTCTACCTGAACATGAAACACTTCTGTATCACATCTGAGAAAAGGTCACCCAGCTTCCACATTTTATTTCCCCAGGCAACCAATTCCCTTCTCATGAAGCTTTATTACTAGGATGATTTTTCCTGCCTTTTGGTGCCAACAGAACAAATCTAACCTCTTTTTCAGATACCAGCACTTTATAAAGGTAGCTATCATGGTTCTTGCTGTGGTTTCTCTTTATAGGATAAATATCCCTAATTCCTTCAGGTTATCTTTATACAACATAAACTTGAGGTCCTTTACCATTCTAGCCGCCCTTCTCTTGATGTTCCTCAGCTTATCAAAATCTTTCCTAAAATGTGGCATCCAGGCTGAAGATGGCACTCCAGATGTGCTCTGATCAAGGCACAACACAGTGGAATTATACCCTCCCTAGTCATGGACATGATGCCTCTCAGGGTAACCTAAATGCTAGATATTATGCAGGCCCAGCACCAGACAATGTGCTAGTCATGTAAACCTAGGCAAGTCACTTAACTTCTGTCTGAATTTCCTCAACTGTAAAATAGGGATAATAATTAGTACGTACCTTCCAGGGTTGCTACAAGGATTAAATGAGATAATATTTAAAAAGCTCTTAGCCCAGTGCCTGGCATTTAGTGGATGCTTAATAAATGTTTATTCCCTTTCCTCCTTCTTTTATGCTTATACAATTTCATCTTTTTAGAATTAGTCCAATATTCTAGCCGTTCTAGATCTATTTGAATACTGTCTCTTTAGTCCAGTTTATGAGCTATCCTTCCAACTAAAATTGTGTAAGTATGCTACACGTGCCTTTATCAAACTCACTGAAAAAAAAAAAAGTGAAACAGCATAGGATCAAATACAGTTCAGGGAGCACATTCTTGACCACTTTTTGTTCCAAATCTTCAACCACTTCCAAATCAACCTGACTGTCCTATCACATAACCCATATCTCACCATTTTTGTCCAAGAATTGAAGTTAAACTCATTATCTGATAATTTGCAAACTTCTCTTATCTGAAGGATATTTGTCATTCAATACTGTCATATATCCCCAGTTCTCCATGATCAAAGTTCAACTAGCAAACTCAGCAAGTGTTTGTCTAATAAATGAATGAAAGAGTTTCATCTCCACACATAATTAATCTGTATCATTTTCTGGAGGTCAGAAACCCATACAAGAGGAGAAAAGTATGAAAAGTTTCCCGGCTATTAACCTAACTTTACTTAAAAGAATAAGAACAGGAAAGGGAACTAGCATTTATCAAGACTGCTATCATGTACACTACCATGTGAGTTCCCCCTATGTCTTATCTTAGGTTCTCTTCTCTCCTCCCCCTATATTATCTCACTCAGTGATTTCATCCGTTCTTAAGGGTTCAATTATCATCTCTATGTAGATTATTCCAGGATCTATATCTTCAGCTGTAACTTCTCTCCTGAAGTCTTGGAATTGCTATCCCTTAGGTATCTTAAACTTAAACTGTCTGAATCAGTATTCGTTATCTTCCCCCCCCTCTAAACATTCTCCTCTCTACTGAATTTCCCTATTACTATCAAGGGCAGTGCCATCCTCCCCCTCATCTAGGCTCCCAAACTCAGTGTCACCTTAGACTCTTATCTCCCAGAATACCTTTCCAATCTACTGGCAAGTCTTGTTCTACCTTTGTAACATTTCTCATATATGTCCCCCCTCCTTTTTTTCCCTCTGACAATATCATCTTCCCAGTGTAGGCCCTTATCCCCTCTCACCTGGCCTATTGCAACGGCCTGCAAGTTGGTCTCCTTTCCTCAAATCTCTCCCCACTCAAGTTCATCCTCTACTCATATATCAAATAATCTTCCTACAGGGCAGTACTGACCATGTTACTCCCCAATTCAATAAATACTAGTGATCCTCTATTACCTCCAGCATCAAATATAAAATCCTCTGACTTTTAAAGCCCTTCACAGCCTGGCCCCTTTGTGCTTTTCTGGTGTTCTTAGAATTGATTCGCCTCTGCTGTTCTCCAGACCTATAGAAGCAGTGTGGAATATAATGAATAGACCACTTTGGGTCAAATGACCTGAGTTACATCTCCACCATTTACTACCCACGTGACCTTAGGGAAGTTGTTTTTTATTTCTAAGTTATTTATAATGTTTGAGAATCAGTTCCTCATCTTCAAAAAGATAATGAATAGTAATCCTTGTACCACATACCTACCTTACAGGATTCTTATGAAAAAAGTGCCTTTTAAATGTTAACACACTACATAAATGTGAACTAATAAGTTATTTTCAAAGCCACGTTTTTCCTGTGTATGACTTATGACCATTAAGGACTGGGATTTATTTTTAAACCAACATACATGGTACTGGCATTTGCTTCAATCAGGAATTTCTTTCCTAGACTTACTTCAGAGACAGTTTATGAGCCACACCATTTCTTACTTAAACCGCCACTAACCAGCTTGATCACATACTTAATTCACTACGTTTGGCTCCAAAAGACTTTTGGCCACTTCCAAAAGTCCATTGTCAAGGATGAATGTGCTACCATAAAGGATATATTTATTTTTATTTTTAAAATTCTGAACTTAAACAGTTTAGCTATGTGATACAGTAAATGGAGCATTGGGCTTGACGTCAGGAAGATCCAAGTTCCATCTCAGCTAATTAAGACACTTACTGTGTCTTAACTGTGTGACCCTAGGCAAGTCACTTAACTATCTGCCTCAATTTCCTCAACTGTAAAATGGAAATAACAGCATCTATGTCCCAAGATTGTTGTGAGGCTCAAATGAGACAATATTTGTAAAATGCTCAATAAATATTTGTTTTTTTCCATGTAAAATGGGTGTCTCCAACTATGCATTGTAGAAGAGGTGAGACTTGTACATGAAACCATGAATATCTATTATGTGGAGGTTACTTAATAGGTTGAATTTGAGATATCTTAGGGACAATTAGTTCAAGATGCTCACCAGGCAGTTGGAGATGCAAGACTAGACCTAGACCTCACAAGAGTGGGTAGGGATCTATTGATTTTCTTTTTAAGTATATGATAAATTCAACAAGGAACTTTCAAAGCTATCCTGCTTGACTGTGATATACCATTAAGGATATTGAAAAACCATGTGTAATTTTTTTGTGAAAGCAAAATGCTGGAAACAAAATGTTGATATTGAGGAATGGCTAAACAAATCATGGTACATAAATGTAAGGGAATTATGATTGTGCTGTAATTATGAACCTAAGGGGTTCAGAGAAACACAGAAGACTTGTGTCAACCAATGCAGAGTGAATTAAGCAGAAAAAAGGAAAACAATGCACATGATGAGAACAATATGAAGGACAATAAATGAACTAAAGAAACTGAACACTAACTGGAATGTCCATTTGTGAATCTTTTCAGTAGAGATGTAGAGCACTATGGGTGTGGAATGTTTTACATACTCTCAGAAGCAGCAATTCATTGGTTAGTTTTGTTTTGAACTGATTTTTAATAATTTATTATCATGAAAAGGTTCACAGAGGGGAGGAGTATAACCAGATAGGACTGTGATGTAAAATCAAAAAGCATCAATAAGACTTTACTTTTATTTGTGGAAGTCCCAGATCAGTTGCCACCCATACATAAAGCCCTCTGACTAATAGGACCTCTCTCTTCTCAAAAGAATAGCTCTAAAAATGTTTCTGAGCACTGGTAGAATCATTGGAATATGGTCTACCAACAATACCATTTTGAAGGGGAGAACATTCATTTACAATTGACTTGTTAAAAAATATCAGTCACATCACTTTATAGTCATTTCTCAAATATGTCATCAACCTGCTAGACTTCTTCCTTCTTGAAGGCAGAAATGTGCTTCATTTTTTTTGTACAGTTTAACATGCCTAACTTGATGCCTTGCACATAGCATGTGGTCAAGAAATATTTGCTAGTCGGTTTCATTTACTTCTCATTCCCTGCTTAGAGAAGCCTGCCATAATCGGAAGGTAAGAATAATATTCATTAAAGTACTAGGCTAGAGTCTTTTGGTTAATGCTTTGATAGATGCTTACCTCTCTCAGGGTTGGTTTGCCTATAAAAAAGTCTGTGTTTTTGCTGCTTTTTGGTGGGTTAAATTTGACATTCAGGAATGCACATCCATTAGCGATAGCCTCAAGGGGAGCTGGACCCTCATATGGAAACCCCAGTCCAACAAACAACTGCAAAACAACAACAAAAAAAACCACCACACAATTCAGAATTGTTTTCCTTCACTTAAAATGAGTCATCATGATCTTAAATTTCTCAATACACAAACTGCTGTAGTTCTGAACGACATCCACAGACATCTTAGGTGAGACGTAGGGGAAATGTGTCTGCTCCCACTGAAATCTCTGCAAAAATACAATTGCAAAGCTTTCTAGAAACATAATTAAGGTGTGCTATATTCTTCTTCCATGATAAAAAGGGAAGGAATGAGTTTGGTGGGAAGGAGGAGGAGGTCCTAACGTCCAACAATAATCTTTCTGTAATGGGCCAGAGAACATGACTAAAAAAACTCTTGGCAAATTAAGCAGGAGGTTTCTTCATTGAATGGATGGAACAACAGAGCCTTTCAGTGATGCTGGGGGTTGGGGGATGCCACAGAAGGTCACTTGGTAGCTTGATTACATTTCGAATGACAGTATTCGAACACATGATGGCAGACTGGAAGACACAGGTTTTTAGAATGGTTACATCACTGGACACCATCAGAACTTTTTTTTTTCTTTAGGAGGGTTGGTAGGAAAGGGAAGGCATTATTCTTTGTAAAAATCAGTAAAGCTGCCAGTACCCACAGCTGAAGCAAAATTTGGGGCTTTTCATACTGCAGACAGTAGATGGCAGCAGAATGACAGTGTGCAGAGCTAAGACAGAGGGACAATGAGGGTCACATAATGCTTTAACTTGGCATTGTTTTTCCTAGTTCAAAATGAAATAGGATTTAATTGGCACAAGCCAATTCTACCGTCTGACATGTCTTCTTAGGAATTTAAGTTCCCAGATGGTGAGGGCTTACCCTCTGGAGAGTTTGGTAGTGTGCTAAGTATAGTATGGAGTGTATTCAAACAATAAATATTAAGTATGGTATCAGCAAACCCATTGTGTTGTCCCCAAAGGGAAATCAACTTAAGACAGATCACATTGCACGGGGGATCATTTACTTTTGCAATAACTATGGAGAATGCCAAGAACCTAACCTCTCACTTTCCTGGCTCTTGGAGCGAAGGATGCTGAATTAGAACTATATTTATGAATTGGATTCCTTCTCCTTCCCCTACTCTTCTCTGCCTCTACAGCTGGTTTAATGGGGAAGTAACTTACAGTGGATTAATTAAAAAGCCCTAAGCAATAACTGTCCTCTTCTCTCTCCTCTTCCTATTCCCTCACCTCACCACAGTATCAAGGGATCTGGAATCCCTTCAATCCTCAGTCAAATTCCAGAAGTGGACATTTGGTCCCATCTGAATAAAGCCAGGAGCTTAGAATTTTGTTGAGGAAAGAAACAAAATTTCAAGTTCTTTTAAAAGTTTTCAGAAATAATGACTAGTCTACAACCATATATGTAACATGCTTTTTTTTTCCCTGAAGGAAGGGGGTACCTAACTTTGCAATTACGGGGAGATATTACTCCTTTCCCCCAAAGAACCTGAAATCACGGAGATAGGAGAAAGTAGATGGTGACCTTCACTGGGGATACTGAGAATATAGAAAAGTAAACACTTAATAGTCTCTGAGCAGGGAGGGGAAGCTTTACTTTTCATCTAGCCATATACCCAAAGGGGCTAGCCATCTGCCTGTTATCACTTATCCACCTAGACTGATACTTCCCACATTAGATCTCTATATATGAGTTTTCTAGAATCCAGGTTGCAGACCTTGGGGAAGGTCATCTACTCATCTTTGGATCTCTCACCTTAGGGTCCAACCCAGCTAATTATGTAACTTTAATCTTTATATCTCTTAATCAGCCCTCTTCTTCACTTCCACTGCACTCACCCTAGTTTGAACTTTCATCCCTTCTTGTCTATACTATTAATAACCTCCTAACTGGTGTCTTTACTTCCTGTTTATCTGCTCTCAAAGTCGTCCTCTGAGATACTCCTGAAGTGATCTTCCTAATGCTCTGTGATGATCATGTCACAACTCTACTCAAAATTCTTTAGTGGCTCCTCCTTGCCTACCAAACACAATATAAACTCCTGATCTTGACACTAAAGGCCTCTCAATATATCAACACCCATTGTCCTTTCCAGCTTGATCTAATCCCAACCTTTTTCATATAATCTAAACTCTTCACATATCTCCTTGATTTGTACAATTGGACTAGGGAAGCAATATGTTATGATACAAAGAAATCCCGAGGGACCAAGATGGTGCAGGGGAGAGTGTTCTTGATATATTTTCTCAGTAAATATGGCAGGAATGAATGCAGGAAGGAAGGAAGGAAGGAAAGGGGTGAGTGAAAGAAGGAGTAAAGAAAGGAGAGGAAGAAGAAAGAAAAAAACTGTATTTAGAGTCAGAGGGCCTGAATTCAAATCTACTTTTGCCACCTACTATATGACCACCTACTATATGAAAAGTTACAACCATTTTTGAGACTTAGTTTCCTTCTCTGAAAGATGAGGGGTTTCCACTTGCTGCCTCCAAAATTCCTTCTGGCTCAGAATCCTATAATATCATCACTAATCTACCAACAATCTTGTCCTGACTTCTGTGGGTATTGTTTCTTTGCTTACAGAATTCCCCCATAGTTGGAATAATGTCCTTTCATTTCCAATCTCCTTCCTCTTTTCCTTCAAGGTCCAACTCAGGTACTACATCCTTCACAAGTCTATCTTGACTGCCTCTGATGAAAATGATCTCAGCCTTCTCAAATTTCTAACAGGACGTATCTTATTCTCCTTTGTAAACTTGGCACCCCTACCTTTGGAGAAGGGCTGTGATGGTATCTTTGTATCCCTAGGGTCTAGCACAATGCTTTGAATATCATAAGTGCTTAGTAAATGTTATAGCTGATATGGCTTTAAGATCTAACAATGCATTCTCCCTCTACAGGTTAGCCACATCTCAGCAACTTATACTGTCTTCTATTAGGAGTGGGAATATATTCACGACAAAAGAGTGTACCTGCAAGGAAAAAAAAAATTCAAGGAATATACCAGACATCGGTGAGAAGAAGCAAGAATGATTCTCCCCTTGACCAATTTAAGGCCTTGGAGCTGGCCAAGGTTCTTTCTCTGGATAGCTTTGGATACCCATTACTTGCTTCTATATCGTAGGGAGAATTTCCACTTCTCTAACAGATTTTGATAGTAGAAAGTTTGACTTGTTAAGTGACAAGAATCTTAGGATTATAGAGTTAGAAAGGCCCTTGCATATCAAATCCAATGGCCTATTTCCAGTCCTCTTCCTGGCTCTTTCTATCAAATTTGACTGTCTCCTCTTTCTTGATACTTTATTGTTCCTTAATTCTGTATTCTGTTCTGGTTTTTCTCCTATTGTTTCTATGTATTCTCTATTGTCCCCTTCCATCTCTTACACCACCCAAGGATTTAGTTTAAGCCCTTGTCTTCTCTTAGTATTTTGTTTCCTTTGAAGATCTGAATTGAATGATCACCTTTATACAACTTCCAAATCTGTACATCCAATCCTTTCCCTGACCTATAGAGTTCTGTATTTCTTACTGGCAGTTGTACTTCTACCTCTGTCTCACCAGCACCTCAAAGTCAATATTTTTAAAATTTCACTCACCAGCTAACCTCTAAAACCTTCTTATCTCCCTAACATTGTATGTGTGTGTGTATCATCAATACACATTAACCCAGGCTCAAAAACTCATTCTTGACCCTTCCCTTATAGATAACCAACATCTGTTAATTCTGCCTCCATTATGACTTAGATTCATTTTCTCCTCTCTGATCATACCACCAACAATCATCTACAAGTCACATTTAGGAGCGTGCTGGAGGCAGCTTATATGGACTCTTGAGAGCTGGTTTTTAAATTATCAGTGTGAGCATTCACACTGCAGAAATCAGCAAGTGATACAAATAAAGTCTTGATTTATTGTTTTGATTGTCTAGACTTAAGTGATGGAAAAAAATGTTAATAATGAACATGAAAATTAAAAGTTTGCCATTCATTCATCCTTTTTTTTGGAGATATGGTTATTAAACATTTATGAGCCTACTACTGGGTCATACTCTACCTGAAATGATTGTATTAGCTCTCTAACTGCTTTTCTTGCTTCTTGTCTCTTCCCTTCCCAACCCATGTCAAACAGTTACAAAAATTACATTTATGACAGTCTGTCACTCCCCTGTTCAAACACTTTTAGTGGTTCCCTGAATGCAAAATCTGTAGCCTGGCATCCAAGGCCCTATACAAGGCCTCCTCATTACCCATCCAGCCTTATTACTCCCTTCATGCATAATACCTTTGAAACAAACTCTTTTCTGATCTTATCCTCTACTTTTCTGCCTCTGGCTCCCCAGTCTCATCTAATATATTCCTCTTCCCTGATTCTCCAGTGGAAAATGCAATCTTCCTCCTCCATGTTTTTATGTAGACCACTCCCCATGACTAGAAAGCACCTATCACCTTCACAAATCCATCTATCAAAATTCTTCTCTTCCTTTAATGTCTAGCTCAGAAGACACTTCTTCCATAAAACAGTCCTTGATAAATGGCCCCAACCTCTGTCTCATTTGAAAATGATGTGTCTTTTGTAAAATTTTTAGAGAGAACTCTGAGAATACCTTAAGAGAATTTTCCCTTTGCCCCATTCACTTTCTATCTTGTATCACACTTACTTGTGTGCATGTTGCATTCCCCCTATTGCCTTCTTCAATGCCAGGGATCTGTGATCCCCTCCCCCCTATTTTTGAATCCTCGGCATCTAGTACAATGCCTCTCACAAAGTATATGCTTTAAAAAACGTTTACTGCTATTGTTGTTTAGATCTGTGACATTCTTGGGAATGGAGAGCAATAGAAGATTCAGACTGTGTCCCCAAAGGTTTGAGTCAGAGATATAAGTTCTTACTGCTTCATAACCTCTGTAAATAAGGGCATGTGTTGAAACCTTCATTGCAAATTGCATTGCACTGAATTGCAAATAAGAATTCTGGAGAAAAACAGATAAGACATACGGTGCTTGACTACTAAATAGAATGATT